GATTCCGCGCGTTATTATCTCCGGACAAAATATCCTCGACAATATATCCCCGACAAAATATCACCAGACAAAATGTCCCCAAGACAAAATATCCCCAATACAAAATATACTCGAAACAAAATATTATTGGATAAGTAAAAAAGCATGGATGTAAAAATTCGCAATAATTTTTTAACACTCGGTCCCTCCTGCTCCCATCTTCCATTACACCACCCACTAATCATGAAAATTTTTTTTAAAATTGATCATAAACTAACACAAACTTCAATAATACAAATGAGATTTCAATTTATTAATATTACAAAGTTCAAACATACAAGTGAGATCATTTTAATCTTATTTTTCAGTCAAACTATAAAATCACTGTCAATTAATCACATATTTATTTTAGTATTTTTTAATCTTATAAATTATGCTATATGCGTATGCGTATTGCACACATTGCGATATGCAGTATTAAATCATTGGTCATATATTATACTTATAAAGATCCTATCCATATTCAACAAAAATTAAAGTTTAGTAATTAACAAAAATAAATTTGTATCTTTCACGTTCTCCATAAACAAAAAATAAACACTTACAACATAACGACTAGTTGTTAATGCACAATAATTTCGCAATACTTCGTAGATACTCAAACTTATGGTTAGGATCATAATTAAGAACAATATTTTTTAAACGACTCTGATAATTACGATACGCTTTACACTTCTTACTTTCAAAATTGAACCCTGTATCAATTTGAGCCATTAGCATTTCAGTTTTAGTCTGCTCATCTTTTATTGCATCTAAAAATTTATTCACTGTAGCATGGGAAACAGATACTCGTTGGTTAAAACTATTATGCCAGCCTTCCATTAGATTGTTAGATGTAATTCTATCATCAACTACGGCACGATAATAATTCCACAATTTAGGCTCAAATAATGGTTTATCACGTTTAATCTTATTATGGCGTGGTTTACCAATCCATGTCATAGTAAAATAGTTTAATAAATCATCCAACATTTCATGATGAATATCATAAAAATCACTAGAAACTATTACTTCATAGGCACTTATAACATCATTAACTGGAACATACGCTAATGCCATTAATAACTTAAGATTTAGAGCAAACGTTACATCTTTATTGTATCGTGCTTGAAGGCCACATAGTTGAATATGACGCCACACGCATTGTGTGAAATGAAAATGACACCCAGAAATTTTAATTCCTGGATATGTTTCTTTGATAGCATCCATGAAAGGCCTTTCAAAGTCGACCATAATGCGTGATGGTGAATATTAGGTAGACTCCGACGTAAAACTTTTAAGAAATTTATATACATATTCTTAGACTTATTAGGTGCTAATAAATACACCAAAGGCACAGATTTACCACTCATATATCCATGTATAGTATATAATTGAGAAAAGATGTTAGGTACTGACTTAAACGTACCGTCACTAAGCCACTGTTCGCATTTTGTTAAAAAATTTAAATTTTTTACAGTTGTAAATACTAAAAATCTATTTCGGTCTCCCACCGCTGTCATGAAGTAAAAATAATTCGTTATTGTAAGTTTTTTTTATATTCATCAGGGAGCTGTAGTTCACCTCGAGAAGTTGGATTGTTGAATTGTGGGTTATGTTGAGTCCGGGTACGCTGAATCAATCGACTAATCGACGTTGTCATTGGCATTAACGCTGCTACTGGAGACGCGACACCACGTAATGCTCCAGAAAGAATTTTAGCTGGTTTGTAGTCGGTTGTTTCAGCTTTACGTTTTATTTTAGCTTTTATAATCTTCATTTGCACCACAGCCGCATTTACAGCATGTTCATGAACCGGTACAGTGCCAACAATGTTACCTGAATGATATGGAGAATTAGAAAAACATTTATAACTACAGAAATTATAGTCACTCTTATTAATAATAACAAATTTATAGATTAAAAATTAATATACCTGTTCATCTTCACAATCGGTATGAATTATCTTTGAACAATATTTATTAGTGGCACAACGCCATGAAATATTATTTTTATTCACTTTTTTACGTGAGTAAATAATGCCCTCATGTACCAGTAAATTTGTACTCTTCTGCGATTTTATAAATTGCAGTGGCATTATGCATACCATATATACTTGAGATTACTTAAATATAATAATACTACTTTTGAGCATATATACTTCAGATTACTTAAATATAATAATACTACTTTTGAGCAACAATTTTAAACATTATATGAACTAATAGAGCACACAACAAAACTATAACCTCGTACATCATCATAAATTATACAATACTAGATGGCATACAGAGTATTAATATAATTACATAATAATTGCCACTAGGTAGCGCGGCGAAACGTAGTAACTTTTCAGCGCCAATATTTAAATTTGTAACTCCATTTCAATAACACAACATTTACATATCGTTATAATGTATAGATATTTGATAAAAAATATATTTTGTCTGAGGATATTTTGTCTTGGGGATATTTTGTCCGAAGATATTTTATCGGGAATATTTTATCGGGGATATTTTGTCCAGGGATATTTAAGCGCGATACCAAACTGGAAAAGGAGCATATCTGAATCGATATAAATCAGGAGAGGGATTATTCGATAAAATTACCAAAGCGAGCCCTAACTAATTTTGATTTGTTAAAGTATACAGAAAAATTGAAAATACCATATTTTCGAAATGTTTTCATGAGAAATGATTTACCATCATCAGGACCTTGGAAAAATGAATCAGCAATTATTAATTTGGATAATAAAGATGGATCTGGAACTCATTGGGTGGCGTATAAAAAAAGAGGTGGAAAAGTTGTATACTTTGATAGTTTTGGTGATTTAAAACCACCCAGAGAACTTGTACATTATTTTAATGTTAACCATATATTATATAATTATAAAAAATATCAAGATTATAATACTACTAACTGTGGGCATTTATGTTTGAAATTTTTTAATTGATCAGCTATAAATATGATGTGGAAAAAATTATATTCCATTTACATTTTAAGTATTATACAGTAAACATTATGGGTGATTCTTTGATATTAACACTTTCTGGACATTCATCATTATTGGAGGTTTCATATTTTCCTCCAATTGAATTTTCACCTACAAAAAATTATGTTCTTGGACTTGTTGATTTTCTTACATTTAATTCAATTCCAAACATATATGAAGGCAACAATAAGTTTCGATATGAAATGAAAGACAATTGGCGTACAATTACAATTCCAACTGGTACTTTTGATCTTAAAGATATTTACATATTTCTAATTGCGACGGATCCTCAATTAAATCTTTCATTGGGAGTTGAAAAAAGTACACTTGTCACCGAATTATAAAGTGAAAAATCAGCTATTGACTTCACATCTGAAGATTCTATCGGTGAATTTTTAGGATTCGAACGAAAAATTTATAAAGCAGGAGAAGTAAATAAATCGGAAAAACCAACATCAATATTGAGTGTTAATGCTATATGTGTAGAGCGTAATATTACAAGTGGTGTATACATAAATAATCAATTTGCTCATACAATTCATGCATTTTTTCCATCAGTCCCACCAGAATATAAAATTATTGAATCACCTACAAAAGTCATTTATCCCCCCGTCACAGTGAGGGAAATACATAATTTACAGATACGAGTTGTAGATCAAGACGGAAAATTAATTAATAATCGATCTGAATCAGTCACTGTAAGGTTACATTTAAAGAGTATATAATGGTAATAGTTTATGGTGATCATTTAGAAGAACAAAGTTATAATAACCATTAGCCATGCGCAAATGTACACAGTTTAAAAAAGACAATCAAACGAGCAACATCTCAACAGAAGAAGACGAAAAAGAAGAGGAGAACAGTGAAACAACTGACTCCTCAGAACACTTAATTTCTAGAAAGTCTTGGTTTAGACTTAATTTAAAAATTGTTAAATTTAAATTCAGCTTGTCGTGTTTAATACCATGGAGGCGACGGCATTAAAAATAAATAAAAAAATTGTTCAAGATGAATCTATATCTCATTATGAGATTCATGCTCATCAACCATATGGTTCATCATTATATAAAAACAATGATGAGATACGTATAGCTGTACAACATCAAGATTTATGTATTTTACCATGTGAAAGTTCAATTCATATCACTGGTAAATTTACAAAAGACAATGGGAGTGCTACATCAAACAAATCTTTACTTGCAACAATGTTTGCTTGTTTCTTATTTGAAGAAATGAGATATGAATTAAATGGAGTTGAAATTGATCGTAGTAAAAATGTGGGCATTACAACACTCATGAAGGGATTTCCATCATTTACACCAGAGCAAGAATATTCTTTGGAAAACAGTGGAATGGTACTTGATAATAAAAAACTATGTGATTCCAATGGTAATTTTGACGTCTCTATACCATTAAAATTATCATTTGGATTTGCTGAGGATTATAAACAAGTCATTGTTAACTGTAAACATGAGCTAATACTCATAAGAGCCAACACTGACTTGAATGCAATACATCAAACTGAAATAGCTAATACAGCGGCTGAAAATGTAAAAATTACTCTTGATAAAATTGAATGGTTAGTGCCATATGTTACAATGTCTGATTCAAAGAAACTTGATATGTTAAGTTACATCAGTAAAGATCCATCGATATCAATACCCTTCAGATCATGGGAGCTATATGAATATCCATCTTTACCTATAACAACGAAACACATCTGGTCTGTGAATACAACAAATCAACTAGAGAAACCAAGATATATTATATTTTCATTACAAACTGAACGTAAAAATAAATTATCAAAACGTGCTGATATATTTGATCATTGTAAAATTAAAGATTTTGCTGTTTATTTAAATTCACAGCGATATCCATATGCTAACATGAATATTGATATTTTAAATAATAAATATGCACTTTTGTATGAAATGTATACGAATTTTTATTCATCTTATTATAGTAAAAACATTAAAAGACCATACTTAAATAAAGGAAATTTTATGGAAAGAGGACCATTCATTGTAATAGATTGTTCAGGGCAAAATAAATCTATTAAAGCAGGACCAGTCGATGTTCGTCTTGAATTTGAAGCTACTGAAGTGTTTCCCCTGGGTACAACTGCATACTGTTTAATTTTACATGATAGAATAGTCGAATATAAACCATTAAGTGGACAAATTCGAAAATTGATTTAAAAAATAATTGAAATAAAAAATAAAAAGAAATAAAAAATATTAAAAAAAAAATAAAAAAAAATTATATGTTTATATTTAAGTTTTATTTTAAAAATTGTAATCATTTATATATTTATATACAAATAAAAAATTAGAAGAGAGTTGAATTTCTTTAAAAAAAAAAAATCTTATAAATATTTTAGAATCAGAGGTTATTTTTTCTTTTTTTAAAATAATTCAAAAGCATACATATCATTAATCTTACAGTTTATTCAAAAAGAAAAAATTATATACAATATTTGATACATTTTTTCAATATACATATTTATAAAAAACATTAACATATACATTTGTTTAAAAACATAATTATTAAATATTTCCTAAAAGAAATTGATTGAAAGCGTAAACCTCCTTCTTAGGACAATGAGCCATTCTAGGAGTTGATTCACCCTTACGAACTTTCAATTCATCATGCTGAAGACAATCCAATGTTTCCATTATTTCAAATAAGTCCGGACATTGTTCTCGCAATTGATTATATAATATTTCGAATTTTGGACATCCAAGCTTCTCAATATTATAACTTTGAATTCCCAAGAATGTGAGTTTGTCTCGTTCAACTGATCCACCTTTGTATCCTATGATTCCTCCTAAAGAACTTGTTTCTTCATCGATGCCATACAAGAAATCATCAATTGCTCCTTGATTCTGATGATTGTGGTTATTATCCATTTTTAATCCATGGATAAACATTGTATTGAAGCATGCTGATGTAGAATCTTCTCGTGACAGTCTATGTTCTCCAATATTATAATGACTTGAATATATCTCACCGCTCTCAACTCGAATACACGCCATTTCCTTACAGTAGAATTTTTTATTTATTCTAAAGCTATCCATATCAATGATGTGCGTTATTTTTGGATAATTTTCCATTGTTAAAAATTTCAGCTTTAATTACATTCAAAAAAATGAAACTTTAATTAAATTTTTTTATTTAATATTATGATAATGATGGTAATGATGACCAATTGCTTCTTCAATTTATATTGCTTAATATTCTACAACACATGGCGACAAGTTATTCAGGTGCTCCATAATTTACAATACGTTGAGAGTACTTTTCTTGACGTTTTTTAGTTTAATAATTATAATTTGTGCTTTTATTTATATCAAAATAATATCCACTAAATGGTAATATTCCCTTTTTACATGTTTTATTTATCAAACATCAAATCAATAAATTTAAAATATGGCTCGATAAACATTTGATCATTCTTAAATAACACATCAAATGTTTCTTTTGTGACTTGTATATGAATAACTTGTAAGGGTGTTCTTTGATGATTAAACACATGCATTAATGCATTTATATCAGGAATATCATGAGTGTCACAATTATGAATGTATCGATTGATTTTGTAGTAGTTATTTTGTTTCTCTATATCATCTTTATTTATAAAACATTCATGATGAATAATCCAATAATCGATATCTGTATATGTGTTAGTATACCCCAATAAATATGAAGCGAATCCACCAGCAATGATTCCTGGTTTTAGTTTTTTCAATTCTAAATACACTTCTGGTGCAGTTTGTTCAATTTTTGCACATAAAGTTTGATTTAACGCAAGTCTATTTTAAATGTATAACTTGTAAAACTGATCACTTATCAACCACTTTCTCATATTTATTATACAATTTTATGAGACTTATGTCTGAAGCAAGACTGGTGATTTTTGAAAACAAATCGCCCAATAAATAGGGGTAGGTTTTTTCCTCTCTACTCATGTTTTCCCCCACAAGACATTTTTCTAGATTTCATAGCAACTTAAGATTATTAAGTTTCTTTTCAAATTCATTCTCTAATAGGTTATCAAAGGAAGCTGCTTAATATCAAATTAAGGATATGCAGCTGCATGTGGGAAAATCTAAGCATAGCCTTAGATTTTCCCACATGGAGCTGCATATCTATGCACCTATGCTTAGAAGAATCCTCCCTCAACCTTATACCTGAATCCCCATGGTTTTAAGCGAGACAAAAGAAAGATATATTTAAAATAATGGTCACGGTGAGTTGATCGAATCGAGAATAGAAAAAACTAATTTTTTTTGAAATAGTCAGATTTTCTCCCACGCCTAAATCAAACAAAACCCAAGAACTCCCCCACGTTTACAGCTTTCTACCACAAAAAATCTTAGAGACACCTTCAACCCCACTTTAGCGTGCACAGCTATGAGAGTTCTACCACAAAAACCTTACAGACACTTTCACCCCCCACTTTAGCATGCACAGCTATGAGAGTTCTACCACAATATTTATCCCCACTTTAGCGTGCACAGCTATGAGAGTTCTACCACAATATTTATCCCCACTTTAGCGTGCACAGCTATGAAAGTTCTACCGCAGCATCCCAAGAAAAAAAAAAAGTGCGGTAGAACTCTCATAGTCTATCTACTTTTGTGCGAAAAATTCTTTTGATTTAGGAAAGTGCAAAATTTTACAACATAAAATTAATGTTGGAAATGCACTTCCTATTAAACAGGCTCCTCGTCGTATTCCTTTACATTATAGGGATAAAGTTGATTCAGTTATGGAGGAAATGAAACAACAGAATGCAATAGAACCATGTCATGGTCCTTGGGCTTCTCCTGTTTTTCTTGTTCAAAAAAAAAGTGATGAAATTAGATTTTGTGTTGACTATCGTAAATTAAACGATGTCACAGTTAAGGATTCAACACCAATTCCTCATCAAGAAGACATATTGAATATGGTTCTTGGTGCTCAATGGTTTTCTACCGTTGATTTAAAAAGTGGATATTGGCAAGTTAAAGTTGCTCCGGAGGATAGGTCTAAAACTGCTTTTTGTATTTGGAATGAGGTTTGGCAATTTAAGATTCTTCCTTTTGGTTTGTGTAATGCTCCTGCTACCTTCGTCAAACTTATGAACATAGTTTTAAAAGGTCTTCTCGGTAAAATTTGTTTAGTATATTTGGATGATATTATTATTTACAGTAAAAGTCGAAATGAACATTTTATTCATCTTCAAAATGTTTTTGAAAGACTTTTACAAGCTTCTCTTAAGATAAATCCTAAGAAAAGTATATTTTTCCAAAAAGAAATTATTTTCCTTGGACATGTAGTTTCTGGTGAAGGACTGAAAAGTTCTCCGGATAAAATTTCTGCTATTATCAATTAGCCTGTCCCTAAAAATAAATCTGAACTCAGAAGTTTTCTAGGTCTTTGTTCTTATTACAGAAAATTTGTTAAAGATTTTGCTACTATTGCAAAGCCTTTTTATCTTATTAGTCAGAAAAAGAAAGATTTTATTTGGGATGATTTAGCTTTTCAAACGTTTCAAAAATTGAAACAAATTTTGACTTCTACTCCAATTTTGGGTTATCCTGATCCAAATTATCCTTTTATTCTTGATACTGATGCTTCAAATGTTGGCATTGGTGCTGTGTTATCTCAAAAGATTCCAGTTAATAATAATGGTGAGACTGTTTATGAAGAAAAAGTTATTGCTTACTTTAGCAAGACTTTAAATAATCGTGAACGTAACTATTGTGTTACTAGGAAAGAAATATTAGCCGTTGTTATTTCTGTTGAACATTTTCGTCATTTCCTTCTTGGCAAGAGGTTCACTATTAGAACTGATCATGCCTCTCTCACTTGGTTACTTTCTTTCAAAAATCCTCAAGATCAAATAGCTCGTTGGTTTGAAATCTTATTTCAATATGATTTCGAAGTTCAACATAGACCTGGTCATAAACATGGCAATGCTGATGGTCTTTCTCGGCGTCCATGTGATGGTAAAAAATGTCTGAAAATAGATTCTGATGAAAAATGTGATAGAAGGCATATTTTCCGTGTCATTTGTGAAATTAATAATGATTCTGATTGGATCAAATTTCAAAATGATGATAACATTTTGAGTTTAATTATTAAATTCAAAAAGGAAAATAAAGTTCACGAGTTTCATGATGTTTCACATTTGGATTCTACTTTTAAAATTTATTTACTTTATTGGAATTCTTTAGAATTGAAAAATGGTGTTTTAGTTAAACGTTGAGAAGCTCCAAATCTTTCTTATATTACTTTCCAGGTTGTCATTCCTTGAGCTAAAGTGAATGAAATAATTCATGACGCTCATAATTCTCCTTCTGGTGGTCATTTTGGTATTAATAAAACGATTTCAAAAATTCGTCAACGATTTTTCTGGGCAACTCTTAAACAAGATGTTGATATTTGGTGTAATAAATGCAAAGTTTGTTTCGCTAATAAAGGTCCCCATAAAAATTCTTGTGGTCAACTTCAAATTTATAATGTTGGTTCTTCTTTTGAAAGGGTTGCCATTGATATTCTTGGTCCTCTTACTAAAACCTCTTCTGGAAATAAATTTTTACTTGTTGTTACAGATTATTTTACTAGATGGCCTGAGGCGATTCCTCTGCCTAATCATCAGGCTTCTACTATTGCTGAGGCTCTAGTAACTCAAATATTTTGTAGATTTGGTGTTCCTATTGAAATTCATTCTGATCAGGGTCGAGAATTTGAATCTGAAAACTTCAAGGAGGTCATGAGTCTTTTTGGTATTAAGAAGACAAGAGCCACACCTCTTCATCCTCAATCAAATGGTTTAGTTAAAAGGTTGCATAGGACTATTCTTCAATATTTGTCCAAATTTATTAGTAAGAATCAAAAAGATT